GGACCGCGAGCCCTGCGAGGCCGCCGGAAGGAAAGGTCTGAAGTCCCCTTTGGGCAAAGGAGCTTCTCTGCGCCCGGGAGTAGGGGCGCGGAGAGTTTGCACCAACTTCCCCTGAGGGAGTCCTCTTGGGCCTTTGGGGGCTACCATCCTTAGAAAGTTTCTTCTGTTTCTACCCCCACCCCCAACGCTAATTTCAGGAAAGTTGAAACCCAACTGACGGGAGGAAATGGCCGGTAGGCGTTGAGGGGAAGTTGCCTTCGGCTAAAATGCATGGTTTTGGGGCCACAGGTTAGGAGGCTTCACATGAGGTTTGACTGTGAAGGGAAAGAAAACACCAGGGAGATTTATTTTCCACATCTTGGGCCAACTCTGGCTTTCCATTTTCATGTAGTAGAAGCACAGTGCCCTCTTTAGTTGTGACTGAATCCGCAGCCCCCTCCCCTCCTCCACACACACACCCCTCCTCTGCCTCATCCCAGACTTTCTGTGGCCTGAAGGGTGCCTTCCTGACCTGATGGCATTTGGGATTAGTTTGACCTTTCACCTTAAAATAGCAAAGGGACTAATGGTCCTCTTCCCACCTCCTAATCCATTGCCCTGCCTCCCCCACCCCAACTTCCGCAGTGCCTTGTCAAGATTCTACCCCCACCCACTTTTCTACCCCCTTTTCTGGAACCCCTAGGAAATGAGCTACAAGGGAGACCCTGGATATCACCAGTCGTACCCTTAGCTCCTGAGGCAGAATCCCCTGGGAGAGTAATCAGCTGAAGGAAACCCAGGGTCTTGTCAAGAAGTAGAGAGTGGGGTGGCTGCAGACATGGTGGCATGACCCAGCTGGAAGGAGATGCAGCGAGCCCTAAGTTCTGGCTCTGGGCTCTGCTAACTTCCCAGCGTGTCCTTATGCCTCCATCACTTATCTATGCAGAGATCCCAAACTGGCTGCCAATTACAACCTCTGTGCTCTTTTATTTAGCCTATGCTGTGTGTGTGTTTGTGTGTCTTTAATTATGTGTCAGTTGCCAACTTTTAAACAAAGAAAGACTTCAAACATCTGTATTTTTGGCTTCTCTTGAAATATAATAAAAGGTGTGGGTGGGAGGAGATCTGACAGGGTCTGGCAGGATATTTATAGCTCAGAAAAATCAGAACAAGAGCCCCTTCCTCTAGTTAAATGCAGTTCCACACCACAGCTGGTGAGGAGAACAGCTGCTGGGCTTCAGGCTCCACTTACCCTCTTGGCCATGCGCTTTTATGTCCTGCGCAACTCACAGCCACACTTGGAAACAACTGGCTCATATCAGGTGCTCTCTAGTTCCACACACTTCCCCCGCTCACTGGGCCACGTAGACCTTGGACTTTGGTGGCAGCACCGGAACCAGCAGCAGGATCTCCCCAGAGCCCAGAGGTAGAGTCCTAACAGGGCTCACCCCGTCTTCGGCTTGAAGCTAGCCAGAGTGCTACAACCTGACCAAGCCAACTACAGCTGCGCCTCTCACTCTGTTTTGCCTCTTTTCCTCTTAAGAATGTTGTACTAGGTTACCAGTTACAGGCACTAGGTCCTCACAGCCAGTGTGTGGAGCAAGAGGGAATACAGTCTGCTTCAGTCTCAGGGACTCCTTGCTAGCCAGGGAAGTTGTCAACACTTACTTCAGTGTCACCCACCACCTGGGCATCCTTGCAGAAGTATACAGTTCCTCTCAGAGCCCAGAGAGACCTGGCTCCTTTATCTCTTATGAGACTCCCAGTATTTTAGAAAACAGCTATCTTCCAATGAATTGTTATTCCGATAACCATATACATTAATTGCTTATATTATCAGATTAATAGTTTTTGCCACAAATTCCAATGCAATGTAAGTGTGCTATTCATAAGATCGCTATAGGACTTACAGAAAATATGGATTCATAGTGCACTCCAGGGAGTATGGTCTAGGAATGGGATACAGGTTTGAAGCTGTGTCACAGTTGTCATCTCTCAACCCTATCAGGACAACTCTGAGATTTAGAGAATATCCAAAGCCTAAGTGGAGGTCCTAGGTCCTGCAGCTGCCCAGAGAAAAGGCGTTTCTAAGGGGTTTTAGGTAGAGAGACTTCAGGCTTTTCCCAGGCGTGGGTCGGAGCCAACCAGAAGTTAAGGACCTAGAGTCCAGCGGGCAGGACCTCACCTCCATTCAGCCACACAGATTTGGTCTTTTCAGCCTGGCAAGTTCCACAGCTCCCTGTTCCAGGCAGGGTGGCAGTCTCTGGATTCAGGAGCCAGGTGACCCTGCATCTCTCTGGCACATGAGTGCTGGCCCCTGGCTTTGGACTTTGGGGATTTGAAGGATGGATTCAGAAAGTAGGAGAAGGGCTGAGAGAAAGGATAGAACTTCCGCCTTTATGTTCAGGTGTGGAGCTCTGTTCCACAGGACAGCAATTTTCAACCTTTTCCACCCCGTGGCACACAGAAACTAATTACTTAGACTGTAGCACACCAAAAAATACATTGTTTTGCCAATCTGCCAAAAATAAAATAGGTATAATTTTCATTCATTCACACTGGGTTGCTATTGTTGTGTTGGCAGTTGTCATTTTTTTCTAATTTGACACCCCAAAGAAAACGAGGTCAGTGCCCTCTGACTAGTTAGGTATTGCGTGTTCTAAAAATTCCTGTGGCACACCGGTTGAAAATCGCTGCAGTGATGTTTCTCCCCTTCTGCTGTCCTTTGGGGCTTTATCGATAAGTTTACAAGGTGCTGGGAACAATAAAGGGCCTGGTGCTCCTACCTTCCTGTACTTCCCTCCAAAAACAGACCCTGCTCCTTTGTGTGGGAGGACTCTCCTCCCCCCAGCCTCCCCCTGCATCCCTCCTACCTCCACCCATCGCCGCTGACTTGCAGTCCCGGGAAGTAAAGCGGAGTTCCCCAGGCTAACTTGCCTCTTGAACCTCCTGGGACTTTCCTCCAAGCCTGCCTTGTGATGTAAGCGACTCCCCAAGGATCTTGACATCAACGAAGACAGCTTTGGGGCCACCAAGAAGCTTAGAACTCTCTTCCTCTTTGCAATATGGTACATTTTGGACTAAGGACTAAGACTAAGGCTGAACTGGAGAAGGGGCTGAGGGAAAGAGCGGGCCTGCAGGCCCCGAGCCCAGAGGTGATGTGTGGAGGCACTGAGGGAGGCTGTGTAGAGAGTCTCCAGCTCTTTTGGCTCAACCTGCTTCTCAGGGAGACATCCATTCCCTCTGAGGGGCAGAGGTGAGGCACTTTGAACCCCACCCTGGACTCAAAGTCCATCTCCATGGAGTTCTTGGATGGCATTCTAGCTTTATTACAACAATGGCCACCGTCTGCCAAATTGTAAGCTCCTGGAGGGTAGGGGGTCTGTCTCATTTATCTTCAGAAAAATCACACTTGCACTCAACCTGTGAGCTGTACATGGTGGCTGAGGAAAGCCTCTTCCCTAATCCCCACTGCTGGCCCTCACCCCACTTCACCCCCTGTTGCACGGCCCGTAGACCCTGTGCTGGCAGCGTCCTCTCCGATTGCATCCTTCCCTTAAAACCCCATCCTGGGGCTGGTTACTGGAGTGGAAGTTGTCCAATTGACTTAATCCTGAGTCCACTGTCACATTCGGAGAGGAGAATGGGCTTTGCTCACTGTTTTTCTCTCTTGCATGACTGGGTCTGTGCCACTGATGACACTTGGCACTGCCCCCTCCCCGCCTGAAGGCAAGCAGTGCCAGAGCCCTTCTGTATCAAATGCAGACACCCAGCTTCTCTGGAGAAGCGAGAACCCTGTCTGCAGAGCCGACCTGAGGCTGGAGTTCAGCGCACTACCTCTGACCCAGCTTCTTGTGCTACAGGCTTCTTGCAAAGGACCAACAGCCTGGAGGAGAAGAGCCGGCTTGTGAGCGCCTTCAAGGACAGGCAGTCCTCCAAGAACCTGATTGCCTGTGAGAACAGCGACAGGGACGGCCGCTTCAGGCGCACGGAGACCGACTTCTCCAACCTGTTCGCTCGAGGTAGTCTCTTCCCACCTCCACCCTTACCCCTATTCCCCCAGCCCTAGTGCTGTCCAGTAGGTTCCCTATTTGAGTTTCTTGACTTTTTCCTGAAATTTTACTTCTTTTACCAAAAATGCCATTACTTTCTCTGAACTGTCATGAAACTACTTTTCCAGCGTTTGAATCCCTCCTTCCTTAGTGCCCAGGTCTTTATTGCTTTGGGAGCCAGATGAAGGTAGTCAATATGCTTGTCAACTCTAACAACACTTTCAAGGACAAATATGGATTCATAGAATCCCAGAATCTGAAGGACTGTTTGCATATAAGAAAATCCAGTAATTCCCTTCATAGCATTTATCCTTCGAGGTTGGCAACAACATCAACAGCAGCAAGAACAAAATCTCCCTGTGGGAGGCTGTGTGGCTGGACCTCATGACCAAGTGCTGTCCTGAAACTCATTTTCCTTTTGGAGATGTTTCATTATTTACCGTTGTCCCCATAGCACTGGTCTCGGGGTGCTTTCCCAGTCTTTCTCTCTCAAACAGCTCCAAGGTAAACCCACCACCACCCCTTCCATTAACTCCCCACAGTCCAGAGAGGCCAGATCAGAATAGTAANTAAAGTAAACTCACCACCACCCCCTTCCATTAACTCCCCACAGTCCAGAGAGGCCAGATCAGAATAGTAAACAAGAGTTCAGTAAACCTCAGAGATAATCCAGGGAATAGACCCAGAGCATCACATATAACCAGTCTACTCTTGAGCTATGGCTGACAACCCCAACTGGGGCCCCCTGTGGCTTTGTACCCTAACCCCTAGCCCAACTGCCTAACAGAGGCAGTAACCTAAAGTCACCTGCAGACATCCCAAAGTGCAGGCCCAAAAGGATGAGGTTAATAGAGAGGTGGGGAGTTCCCTCTCTCACCTTCCTGAGTCCCATCTTCCAGTTCTAGCTCCCCATCCTAAGGACACCACAAAGGACCACCGTCTTCAGAGGAGACTTCAACCTCTACCCACAGAGGCCTTACCCTCCACCATCAACAGGTCAGGCACATCATGACTCCAAACCAAAAGCCCAGTGTCTGAATCAGATGTGTAGGGTCACCCCTGGTTCCAGTGGAGCAAGATAGAAGTCCCCTCCATCACAAACCTGACAGGTGTCCATCAACCTGCAAATGGACAACTGCAGCGGCAGACTGCTCACGCTTCTCAAAGCTCTCTGTTTCATTTATGGGCAGCCTAACTATCAGAAAGTCTGTGAACCCCCAGGAAGTGTGTGCAGAACTTCTGTGTATCTGCTTATGTGCATTTTTCTGGGTAGATGGTACATCAGATTCTCGGTGTATACATATCCTGGAATGAAATTAGGCCTATAAAGATATGGCTGATATTAGGAATTTCTGGGCCTAGGAAAGGCAGATATGAGTCAAGTGATAACCACTTGGCTTTCCCCCCTCAGATCTGCTTCCGGCTAAAAATGGAGAGGAGCAAACTGTGCAGTTCCTCCTGGAGGTGGTGGACATCCTCCTCAATTATGTCCGCAAGACGTTTGATCGTTCCACCAAGGTGCTGGACTTCCATCACCCACACCAGCTGCTGGAAGGCATGGAGGGCTTCAACCTGGAGCTCTCTGACCACCCCGAGTCCCTGGAGCAGATCCTGGTTGACTGCAGAGACACCCTGAAGTATGGGGTCCGCACAGGTAAGGGTGAGAGCCAGGTGGACACGCAGCGGCCAGCTGGCCCTGCGCCACACCCTTTCCAGCTGTGAGCATGTCAAACTCATGTTGAGGGAGAAACACAGGCCTAGTGAGGGAAGGCAGCAGAGTGCTCAGGGACCATACAACCACCTGGGGCAGGGCTGGACGGCCCCAACCCTGGCAAAAGCCCGTCATTTATTATTGTAAAACTGTCCATTTCTGTATAAGGTTTTCATTCTTGTTCTTAAGCTGCTCACAACCTAATGATAGCCGAATGACCCATTTTCATGCCTATTTCATTCTGATAAACCCTGCCTTTGCCTGTCCCTGAAATTGGGGAGAATTGGACCCATTTATCTCCCTTTCTGTAGTAGTTTCCTAAGGCTGCCATAACAAGTTACCACAAACTGGGTGACTTAAAACAATAGAAACTTATTCTCTGCCAGTTCTGGAGGCTAGAAATTTGAAATCAGAGTGTTTGCAGGGCCGTGCTCTCTCTGGAGAATCTTGGGGAGGATCCATCCTTGCCTCTTCCAACTTCTGGGGGTTGTGGGTAGTCCTTGGCATTCCTTGGCATGTAGATGCATCACTCCAGCCTTTGCCCTCACCTTCACATGGCTTCCTCCCTGTGTACGTGTCCAAATTCCTTCTTTTAAGGCAGGGGTGGGGAACCTTTTTTCTGACAAGGGTTATTTGGATATTTATAACATCATTCGCAGGCCATACAAAATTATCAACTTAAAAATTAGCTATGAAAAAAGTTCCTAAATTTATTGAATTTAAAGTCCCACCTATGGTTGCGTTGGCAGGGCCAGACCAGATCCCCACCCCTGTTATAAGGTCACCAATCTTTGGACTAGGGTGCACACTAATCCATTATGGCTTCATCTTAACTTGATTACATTTGCAAAGAACCTGTTTCCAAATAGTCACTCACCAGGAGTTAACACTTGAACACATCTTTTTGAGGGACGTAATTTAACCCACAGTACCTTCTATTGGCTAGGCAAAAAAGCCACACACACACACTTTGAATTCTCTTCCTACCTCTGGAGTTCAGACACCCTAAATCACCAACTCCTGTCTCCAACAGGAAGCCCTGGAGGATGCCCTCTTGCCTCCTTTTCATGTTACCTGAACCCTCTCTAATCTGCAATCCTGGCCAAAGTGGTTACTTTTCAGTTGCCTTAAGTTCAAGGACTTTTTGGAAGTCTGCCTGTCTCTGCCAGAGCCTGGGAGTGAAGCAGTGATTTCTTCTCCCTACTATCTTTCCCCTCTGCAGCCTGGCCTCCTGAGCTCTTGGGCCTGGCCTCCTGAGCTCTTGGGCAGATAGATCTACAGGAATTGGCAGTTCATGGCATAGTTGCCACCATAAGGGAGCCCCTGAGGCCACAACTGGTAGCCCCTTGTCCTTTTTTCTTCTTTTTTTCTCTTATATTATCCCTCTTACTCTTCCTAGTCATTTGAAAGTATGACTGGGAAGGTTGGTGTGGATAGAGCTGAGTAAGGCTATTAGATGTCAAAAACAAAGTGTTATAATGAAATAAAGAGGCTGGCCAAAGAAGCATTTTTAAATAAAGAATCCTAAACAGCGTTTGAGGCCTGCCAACACCACGGGAAGAAGTGTAGCTTCCTTGAATAATTGTAGGATGGACACGACTTAATTATATTACAAAGTCTGTGTTTCATTTTTAAAGAAAAGCGTGCTCATCAATTCAGTTACATATCACCTTGGTGTCTGATGGCGAACCCATTTCTAACAGAGGTCAAGTAGTGTTATGTGGCTGGATTAAAAAGTCAGAACTCGCCCGGCCGGACTGGCACAGTGGCTAAGCGTCGACGAGGATCCAGGCGATCAGGGTTCGATTCCGGTCAGGGCACATGCCCGGGTTGCGGACTGCAGCCGATCAATGACTCTCTCATCATTGATGCTTCTATCTCTCTCTCTCCCTCTCCTTTCCTCTCTCTGAAATCAATAAAGATGTATTTTAAAAAAAAAAAAAAAGTCAGAACTCTCCGTGTATGTTTTAGCTTGACTTGTTTTGGCCCAACGTTTTTTATTTCATCAGCTCAATCTACATACACTTTGTCAGAGATGAGACCATGTATTTTTATTGCTAAAGCCCAGAATAGTGTTGTGCCTCAAAGAAAAATACATGGATTTGTCATAATAACAACTCCTTTGCCGACAAAACTAAAGCATCATGGACTCTTTTTTTAAATTTTGTTTTTCAATTACAGTTTACATTCAATATTATTTTGTATTAGTTTCAGGAGTACAGCATAGTGATTAGACAGTTACATACTTTACAAAGTAGTCCCCCAGTATTTCCAGTATCTACCTGGCACTGTACATGGTTATTACAATATTATTGACTATATTCCCTATGCTGTACTTTATATCTCTATGATTATTTTGGAACTACAATATGTACTTCTTAACCTCCTCACCTTTTTCACCAAACCCCAAAACCCTTAACTATTTGGCAACCATCAGTCTGTTCTCTGTATCTATGAGTCTGTCTCTATTTTGTTTGTTCATTTATTTTGTTCTTTAGATTCTACATATAAGTGAAATCATGGTACTTGTTTCACTTAGCATAATACCTCTAGGTCAATCCATGCTATAGCAAATGGTAAGATTTCATTCTTTTTTATGGCCAAGTAATATTCCATTATATATATATATATACCAGTTTTTTTATCCACTTGTCTATTGATGGTCACTTGAGTTGCTTCCATATCTTGGCTATTATAAATAACACTGCAATAACAGAGGGGTGCATATAGTTTTTCAAATTAGTGTTTTAAATTTCTTTGGATATATACCCAGAAGTGGAATTGCTGGTTATAGGGCAGCTCCATTTTAAATTTTTTCAGGCCCCTCCATATTGTTTTCCACAGTGGCTGCATCAGTCTGCATTCCCACCAACAGTGCCCGCGGGTTCCCCTTTCTCCACACCCTCACCAACACTTGTTGTTTGCTGATTTATTGATGATAGTCATTCTGACAGGTGTGGCATGATATCTCATTGTGGTTTTAATTTGCATTTCTCTGATGATTAGTGATGTTGAGCATCTTTTCATATGTCCATTGACCATCTGCATGTTCTCTTGGGGAAGTATCTATTCAGATCCTCTGCCCACTTTTTATTGGACGTTTGTTTTTTTGGTGTTTAGTTGTATGAGTTCTGTATAAATTTTGGACATTAGCCCCTTATTGGATGTATCTTCTTCCATTTAGTAGGTTGTCTTTTCATTTTGTTGATGGTTTCCTTTGCTGTGCAAAAACTTTTTAGTTCGATGTACACCCATTTGTTTATTTTTTTTCTTTTGTTTCCCTTGCCCAAGGAGATACGTCAGAAAAAACATTGCTAAGAAAAATGTCAGAAATTTTTCTGTTTATGTTTTCTTCTAGGAGATTTAGTGTTTTGAGTCTTATATTTAAGTCTTTAATCCATTTGGAGTTTATCCTCGTGTGTGATATAAGAAGGTGGGCTAGTTTCGTTTTTTTGCATGTATCTGTCCAATATTTCCAACACCACATATTGAATAGACTGTCTTTACCCCATTGTATGTTCTTACCCCCTCCGTCAGATATTAGTTGATCATATATATGTGGGTTTATTTCTGGCCTCTGAAGCATGGGCTCCTATTAGTCCAGCGTATGAATTCACTTAGATATTCACCCTGCAGCCATCCATCCCTGTTCTTCAGAGCAGCTTCTGGGAGCAGATATTTGCATCTATAGAGTTTACTGTCTTCCAGACGGTGTGAAACCTTCTGCTGCGTCTCAGGGTGTTGATCTTGGCAAAGTGTACTGTGGCTGCCATGTGAAAACAGCTCCTGGATGCTGGTCTCTAACTCAGATGTAGATCCCAAAGCAGTAGGATAAGCCCCACAGATAACTACGCACAGTGGAAGAATTTTTTAAAAAGGATATTAATGCTCAGCCATAATAATAAATTAAGTTTTAATAATGAAAACATGCTGATCTGGGTACACTGTGTGAAGGGATGATGATGGCATTTGGAGATTTCTCTACAAATTAACTAAACACTTATATAGATTGTCCATGAACCAACACAGATGCTAATCAGCCCTCAGTCAGAGTAAATATGTTGACTGCCTTAATTTTTCTTTCTAACATTTTATTATGGAAAATTTTAAATTTATACAAAAGTAGAATAGTATAATGAGCTCTGTATACCCAATACCCAGCTTCAACTATCATCAACTCCTGCCAATTTTGTTTTACCTTTCCTCCCACTCACTCCCCTCTTCTGTATTATATGGAAGCACATCCCTGGCATAATATTATTTCATCCATAAGTACTTTTTATCACCAAGGGCTCTTTAAACAAAAATAATCACAATATCATTATTACATCCAAAACCCCACAGAATTTGCAGTTCCTTAATGTCAAATATTCAGTCAGTGTTCAAATTTTCAATATCTCATGAGTGTCAGAAATGTTTTGGTTTTGTTTTTATTTTTTATTTATTTAATTTTTAAATTCTCACCCGAAGACATTTTTTCCATTGCTTTTCAGAGAGAGTGGAAGGGAGAGACAGAGAGAAAGAAACATCGATGTGAGAGAGACACATCTATTGGTTGCCTCCTGCACGGGCCCCAACTGGGGATGGAGCCCGCAACCTAAGTACATGCCCTTGGCCAGAATCAAACCAAGGACCCTGCGGTCTGCAGGCCGACGCTTTAACCACTGAGCCAAACCGGCCAGGGCAGAAATGTTTTGTTTTGTTATCATTCGAGTCAGGACCCAAATAAGTGCCTCACATTGCAGTTCCTTGTTATGTCTCATAATCAAAGTAGATTCTCCCTTCCAACTTTCTTTTTCTTTCTTGAAGTTTATTTGTTCAAAAACTTTACTTTAAAAAATTACTCTTTCTTTCTCTCCCTCCCTGACTCTAGGCCATGTGCTGCTCAGCACGTCTGTCATCTGTTATTTTCATGGACTATAGAGAGTTGAAATTGAAAGTTAAACTAGGTCATTTTGTTACTTGATATAAATTCCGGTATAAGATGTTGGGGGCATAAGGCTGTAGCCATAGAAGAAAAGTAAAGGGGATTCCTGTCGTTCATATTTTAATGGAGAATGAGATTCTGTTTCACTTTTACTTGAGGAAATGTCTGTCAGTCTGTCTGTCTATCTTTGACCATCTTTTGTCTCTGCCAGGCCATGTGGTTTGATACATTGTCAAATAGTGTGATTGAATTTATTTATTATTCAGTCCTGTATTAAAATGAAAAGTTTGTGTTAAAAGTTTTCAAATGGATATCACGTGTATTTTTAAATGAATTTCAACGAAATTATGTTGCAGAAGCTCTGATAGATTCTGTTGACACAGAGCAAAGTAGAGTGAAATAGGCTGGTTTAAGCTGTGTAGAGTAGTCTACATGAATGTCTGGAATCTGACTCCATACTTACACTAAGCTTAATGTTTATGCTGTTTTTATTTTTTCTAAAGATCGGTATTATTTTTTGAGGACTGTTGAGATGTAGGGCTTGGACTGTTCTGATATAAGAAGCAATAGTCCAGATGTTCCGAATGAGTCCCCATCACATGTGGGAAAGAACAGACATTCTCAGAGAGGGGACTTAGAAGAGGAACATCCAAACGCTAGCTTTCTGACAGTTATTTCAAAGGCAAAAGCAATTTCCACTGGAAATACAGCAGTCAGCATATCTTTCTAAGACCAGTTCTCTGTCACATACCTCTAGATAATCTATCACGTTGGCTCCTTTGGGACAGCCAAGCCTAGCCGGCTGATGTGGGCTTGAGTTTTCCCATGAATGCCAAGTTGGCCAAAACTTGGCAACAATCCTGAATTTGCTGAGAAAAAGCCTGTGAAAGCATACTCTGGGTTGCAGAGGGCTTTAAAGTTACATAATAATAACAATTATTTTACCAACAACTCAGTGAGTGAATGAGGCTATGTCTGCCCCTGTTTCACATAGGAGATACCAGGTCATCTCAGCAATAAATTTAGTGTAATGGTCACTCGACTCTATATAGGCAAACACACCAATGCTTGATGTCGCATTTGACTAACACAGAGACCCAGAGAGTGATGGGATGCCCTCAGCATCAGCATCGTAGCTGGCACATTCCCTGGACTTGGTTTGGTCCACAGAGCCACGAACTCTCTCTGAGGCCTGCAGCCTCTCCTCCATTAGTAAACCTTGATTTGGGGATTAAATCCTTGAGATGTTAAATTGAAGGTTGAAACATTTATGAGGAAAATCAGGACCACTACATCCTGATTTGTAAGTAAAAATAAAAATACAACAAGAATTTCACCTGGAAATTAAGATATTGGAAAGATTATTAGTTTCATGACATTGGGGTTTTTTTTGTTTTTTTTTTTTTAATGTAAAAGCATGATCTTTAGAAACATAAAAATTTGGGGGACATCATTCATGTTAAAAGTTGGTATGGGGTGAGTGAGCCCCATCTTCCTTCTCCATATCCTTGGGCAGCCCATTAGATTGTTGGGATGGAGTCCCGGCCCCATCAGTGTGGCCCTAGTGGAGCAGGCTTTTGCTTGGAAGGTAGCTGGGAAAATCTGGGTTTGCCTTGAAGCTTGCCTGTTACTTACCTCTCTAGGTCATCCTCGATTTTTCAACCAGCTCTCCACTGGACTGGATATCATTGGACTAGCCGGTGAATGGCTGACATCAACTGCCAATACCAACATGTAAGTCCCTCATGTTATTTTCATATAAACAATCATGATGTGTGATTATGGTTTGTTACTTTAAAATTTCAATTCCAATGGCTCTATAATAATTTTATTATAGTTACCCTAATCATCTTTTCTCTTTAAGTCTTTTAGGTTAATCACCTTATAAATCTAGTAGGTTTATAAGTGGATAATTTAGTAGTGGATAATTGATTAACTACTTTTTAATTGAATGATGCAATTTAATAAAATCATAGTTATAAAAAATAACTAATAACTAATAAGGAATAATCAAGCTTTCAAAATTTAGTGTGAATTTCATGTTTAAAAGACTCCATATATCTTAATGCTGTATCTAAAAAGGTCATGTTTTAGAGTACCATCTTGGTCCATTTTCCCATCCAAGCACATTGGTCCTTACATTTCATTTGTATTTCCTTTATAGTTAAAGCTGCCATAAATCCACAGACTAATTTGATCAACCTATTATTGCTTCACTAAAAATTCCAAAACAGCCCAAACGGCATGGCTCAGTGGTTGAGCATCAACCTAGGATCCAGGAGATCACGGTTCAATTCCCAGTCAGGGCACATGCCGGGGTTTCAGGCTCGATCCCAGTTGGGGGCGCGCAGGAGGCAGCCGATCAATGACTCTCTCATCATTGATGTTTCTCTCTCTCTCTCCCTCCCCCTTTCCTCTCCCTGAAATCAATAAAGATATATGTATTTTAAAAATTCCAAAACAAAATTCAGCCGCTAGTGATATATTCCTTTCAAAATCATTGTTTGTTTTTCTGAATTTCACTTTTTTTCATACTTGTTTGAGTAGGCAAAACCTTTGTTTGTTTCTAAGTTCTTGTAAATCTATATGAAATTTACTCTCAGGTGCTGGGTGGAGGGTGGGGTGGCACATGTACTACCTACGTAGACTTCCGGCAATCATCTCACAGTTTCCTCTACATACACATTACCTTTTTGGAGACAAGGACAGGTGATAAGTTGGTGTAGTGTCATCATGGCCTACTGAGTACTCTTTGATCTCAACACTATAATTATGTTTTACCACTATTTATACAACCAGACAATGGCACCACATTTTGTTAAAGTATCCAGGAGAAATAATGAAACAAGTTTCTTACAATAATTTTAAAATGACTACATAAGAATTACATGAGTTTTAGTGACTGTGGAAATATTTAGAAAATAATCATTTACTTTTTAAGTTCATGGTAAAGCAGATTTAAAAAATAAATTTAAGTGAAAGGGTGGTGTTGTTTAAAATGAGAAATTCTGATTGACATAAAGATAGAATGTAAGTTGTTAAAGTTCAAGGTACTCTGTTTTTCTCCCAACCACGAAACCTGAGAGAACGCTTTAAAATTACTTATTGAATCATGTCTGTTCCAAAGCTGTTTAATGCTGTGACACAAAATACTTAACTACATTCAGAAAAGTTTCTATTGATTTAGTTTCTTGCTTTGTTTGCTAATTTAAAGCAACAATGACAAATTTTTAAAAGCAAAAGTGACAAGTGAAGCCTTTCCTGCTAAAAGGCATAAAAAATTAAATTGATTGAAATTGAAAATGGTTTTCATGCTCCCTGCTCGCAAGTCATGGTTAACTTCACAGAGTGTCCATGTCAGATCGCTGAGGCTGCAAAGGGCAGAGAGGAATTCAGGTCAAAGATACAATTGCTGGTATGGTCTCTTCAAACAAAACACTTGCCTTTGCAATTATTACTGTAATATGATTTATGAGATAAAAATATATCAGCAAGCACAGACATCGTGATGTACTAATTATAACTTGAAAAGACACTAATGCTTAATTGGAGCATTTCACACTACGGAATAATTTTCATTAGAAAGTACAGCTTTTAAAAATACTTAACTATTTGGAAAATAAGTGAGAATAAATAGTGTAAAAGAAGCATATCTATTAAGCCCCAAATTCCCATATTAATATAGGCCCTGCATTTATTCAGAGCCTTAAGTGTGTATTGTGTAGGCCTCTCAGCTGCAATTTCCTAATATATATAGCCCAATCTCAAGGTTGAATCATTTATAACCAGATATTCTCCTGAAAGGCTTTTCTTCAACTAGAGAGTTTGCACAAACTCTCCTTGTTTGTATGGGTTCATAAAAATCAAAGTCCCATATTCTTCCCTCACCCCAGCTCAGCCATGAAACACTAAAATATGTCCCAGCCATCTGAGGTCAAGGCCAGACCAACTACATGGCACATAGTAATTGCAGCTGTACTGAACAATGGATGTGTATAAAATATGATCCGATTCCAACAGATCAATAGAGAAGGTTATTTAAAATAGTGAAATAGCTTCTGTCAGTTGGAGACAAGGCATTGTCTGAAGAAGGCATAACTATTATCTAGAAATTATTCTAAGCCAGTTCCCCTGGAAGATCATGAAACGTGGCAGCACTGTCAGGAGCTTATGCAGAAATGTGCTCCCCTGTGACAGTTTCTCCTCCAACTGGGAACAGTGTTCAAATCAGTCTGAGAAGGGATGGCAAAGGGCTCTTGCTTTCGCAGAGTTGGAATTAGCGATACACTCATTTGTTTGACCGGACTATCATTAAGTTTGGGTGGCACCGGTAATATAAAATAATAACTATTCCTCAGCATAGTCTTTTAAAAAGAAATGTCCACTATCCTAATGCAAGTGGCAATGTGATAGGTATCTGACTTTTGGAATAAAAAGAACATTTATGTTCATGCATTTATACCTGCCTGTGCGCATATCTTTGAAATATATTCTTCCAAGCAAGGACCCAGTGAAGATCCAAAGAAAGCTTCACAAATATGTAGTTGTCCATGACATGTACAACTCTTTTCTTCCAAAACAGGGCCACAGAGCACAACTGTGCAGGTTGAGCCGTGCACAAGTGTAAACAGTAGCCTGCCCACAAGTAACCGAGCACAATACATAACCTTTACGGTGAGACCCATCCCAGCCCTTGTGTTATGAGGTTATAATTTCAACACTCTAGTGCTTTATTTTCATAGAAGTTACGCAGGAGAAATTTCCTATGGGAGTTATCAGTCATTTTATACTACTGGGCAGGCTGTTAGGAACCTGCAGCAAGCAGCTCTCGTTTGTCATAGGAAAGCAGCTGTGATGTAAAGGACTTGGAATTCTGACTCCGAAACATACTGTGAGATCTTAAAACAAATCACTGAATTTTTCTGAACCTTGGTTTCTCCTTCAGGAAAATGGGGGATAATTATATCCATTTTGCAGAGTAGTTCTGAAGACTGAAAAAGGCACCGGTCTTAAGTGCCTAGTGTATGCAGGGTGCAGGGCTCGAGGAAAGGCAGCCACCCTGCAGGTCACCATTGTCATTCGAGACCCCTCCCTTCAGCCTCCAGGCTCTTTTGTTTCTGTTTCTCTTCTCTCTGGACACCAGAGGGGCTCACTAAGCTCCCCTCAGGTGTGTTAGCTTCTAAGGTGAAGAAAGGCCACCTGCCACATCTGTAAGGAGAAATCTAAGAGGAGTGTCAAGATGGTCAACATAGAAAACTTCTTCATTAAAGACGTTTCCAGTTTGGCAGTCACCAGGGACCCAGATTCCTTGTGCCTTTTTCACCCCTATGGTAGCAGGTGGCTTTTGTCCTCAGAGTCAGTCACCTGATGGCGCAGGCCGGCTGCTGGATCTCTAGCATCACATCCCTGTTTCAGACCTCAGGAAAGAGGGAGGGGCCTGCGGGAGGGAGGGAGGAAGGGCAAAAGGGGAACACATTCTTTCCTTCCAAGAAACTTCAGAAGTTCCACACCTTTCCCACGGCAGCTGTTTAGCCAGAACTTAGTCCCATCTAGGGAGGCTAGAAAATGTAGTCTGATCTGGGTGAATTTCCACCCCAAATAAAACTGAATGAAGCAAGAGAAGATTGATACTGGTTAGCAACCAGCAGACTCTGCCACAGAGAAATACAGTTTTTAATCAGTTTGCTTGGGTTCTGAGTGAATCCCTCTGGAAAGGTGAGTTGAGCCACAAAAAAAGGGCTGACTTACTACCCTACTCAGAATATAGAAAGAGGCCCAGTGGTCTCCTTCAGTGTCACTCATGACTGTTCTACATCCTTACTTCCAACCCCATGTTCTTATGCTTCAACTCAGAGCTTTTTTGCAGGTTTAGTTTCTTGTTCTCTGATTCTGAAATACAGTCTTGTACTCTAACTCTAGCATCTAACCAGCTTCTTCTGAATCCATATTTGACTTCTGATCTCTTGACTTTATCTGCTTTTGTCTGTCGTTTAGGGAAGGGGTACCTGACTGGAATCCAGTTTGCAAAAGGGGTGTTTCCTACAATTGTATACCAAATGATGTGCATGTCCTCATTTTCTTCCTGGGAAGGGGGGCCATAGTAGGAGTCCTAAAGGGGTCTGTGATCCCAATTAAGTTAGGAATTACTGCTGTAGAGTGAGCTTCAAGGCCTTCTATAAGGTTTTGGGTGCAGGCAGACTACCAGTTGTAAGCACGGCCCAGGATGGGAAGGCAGGGCCACAGAAATGTCAGAAACAGGCACCATGTCAGCCCATTTGTCAGGCCTCGCTGAGGATCAACAGCCATGGGCCAACCTATCTTCTTCCAAGAGAAGATGTCAGGACTAAAGTCATGAATCAATATAAGCTTGATCATAGCTATGAAATAACTGGTCCTTCAGACCAAAGCAGAAATGTCAAACAGGATGTAGCTAAGGCCAAGAACCAGATGCTGGATTCATCCTCATAAGCTTCTTCCTCAGGGTTGGGAATGATGTCTTATAACATCCATCTTTGTCTTCTCAGGACGTAAGATGCCACCTGACAGAATAGAATAGTCATTCAGTAAGCATTTGTTGAACAGAACTGAAAGAGAGGTTTATGAATTAGGTACCTGGCACAAATAAGGAATCTGAAAAAGATCAGATCAGATAGTCTCATGATCAGACTCTCTAGACTCTTTCTCCCAGTCCTGAGAGCAATCCTGGTCCTTAAATAGGAAGACTAATTCCAAGGCTAAACCTGGGGCCTAAATTGATTCAGATCATGAATTAGACCAACCCCTGGCCTTCAGTCCCATCCCTTCTCCCTTCCCCATGTGGTTCCTTCCTGGCCATCTAACACTGTTTTGACTCCAACTCAGCTTCCATCCAACCCTTGGTAAAGTTCTGATACTATTGTGTACAATTCCATGTTCCTTGCCTACATGAGATTCCAGCACACGGACTGCCTCCAGTACCTATTCACCATGCAAACATGTTTGCTATTCCAACCTTTCCAAAAGTCAATGGCACTATTAACACATTTGTTCAAGAATGGTTAGATGCACATCATGAGTTTGACTCTTGGTACACTCAGCAGCACAGGCTAAACCAGGAATCCTTCTCTTCTTCTTCCTTTATCAGGCCATCAGACATGAGGGAGTGTTGGTTGCTACGGTGATGGGGCTCAGAGCAGAACCAAAGCATGATTGTGACCTCCAGAGGTGATGGTAACTGAACACATGATTTCCAAGGGTCTTCCTCCTAAATTTCAAGGGTCCTCCTAAGGAAAATGGACATACTCTTTTTGGAAACAAAATTCTTCTACCAACAGAAGTATCCTGAGGACCCTCCAGGATCTTTTTGCCCTCTTTTGCAGCCATGTGATTAATTTGATTGCTTTTTTCTTCATGATTAAAACTTAGTAGCTTCACATGTGTCTTATATACAATTGTTATCTCATCCTTGCAAATAGCTTTTCTAAATCATTAAGCCAGCAAGAATTCCCATTAGTCCTCAGCATTGGCATTCAGCTCAATCTCCCTATCCAATGGTAAAGTCTCCCCACATCACTCGGCTGAGTCAATCTAGGCATCTCTCTTCAGTGAGCATGATCTGAGCCAAGCCCACAGACTCCAACAAAAAGAAGAAAGACAAAGAGCCTCAGAGTCAGTAAATGTCTTTGTTTTCTGGCTCAATTTTCTGTGGATGCACCTTCTTTGATTTCTCTTAAGCCCTATGCTTGGCACCACGATCTTGTTTCAATGACTGGTCTATCAGACTGTGCCTTGTTTTGAGAAGAGCATGGCTTGCTGCTTTTAAATCAGTTTGTTAGAAGACAAAGCTAACCTACCAGGATATCTAATGCCCACAATTAGCTGTTTATGCCAATTGACCATCTTCTTGTTATTTATAATTGGTAATTAGAAAATCATCACTTATAATTATTCTTGACAGATATTGACTAAAGAGAACTATAGAAACATAGCTGTCCTTGGGGATTCTTAGTAGGAAAACCATGTAGATAATTATATTGAGATCTTTAAGACCTGGGTCAATATTTCCAATTATCTTCACAGTTAGCTTCCAGATGTTTACATTGTTTTCAAAGACAAAGTTTGGCTCTCGTTTTTATAAATTCTACAAGTGTGAAATTGGCAGTCAGGTGTGTTTTTTTCATGTTGCAAACCAATTTTATATAGAACTGAGAATACATTTTTCTCAATTAACATTTGCATCATCCTACAATCTTAGAGGTGAAAGGGACCCAGAAAAGTCAGTTTCTTTCATTCTGTTTCTCTGAGTGGACCACACCTAAGACATTCCACTTAGATGAGAATCTATTTTGTTGATGAAGAATCACAGAGCACAAACTTCAGCCCCCTCTTTTGGTAACCCAGGCTGGTGTCTGACATTTTGATTGGTGACTTAACGCATATCCAGGAAATGAATTTTTAGTGGCTTTGAACCTCTTTTTTTAGATCCCAAGTACAAATACTAAACCAATCATCTGTGTTCCTCAAATAAGTAGTTGATTTCTTTATTTTCATTCATTTTTACCACCTTTCCAGGTTTACTTATGAAATTGCTCCAGTATTTGTCCTTATGGAGCAAATAACTCTTAAGAAGATGAGAGAGATAGTTGGATGGTCAAATAAAGATGGTGATGGGATATTTTCTCCTGGTAAGTTTCTGTTCTCCTTCCCTGACTCTCCTCCAGGTTTGTAGTATGAATCCTTAGAACCCTTTTGAGAACACTAACCACAGAGTGAGTTTGTAGAAGAATAATGGCCTTTAAATATATATATACACACACATATGTATATTTTTTCATATATACCCACACATATACATATATATATTTATATTCTGCCTTTCTATCTTTGTCAGGGTGAAGTCTAGCAAGAACACTACATTCTATATGTTCTAGCCAACAAAGGCTGTGCCTAACTAACCCTGTCCAAACTGACAAAGGCTGTGTCTAAATTATGCTATATAACTCCGGCATGTCAGCATCGGTTAGATTAAGCTAAGGATCAGTGAATCAAGATTATCAATTAACTAATCGATTTCTGCCAAAATAGTTTGTCTGCTTTGAATCCCTAGTTCAATATAGATATAAGAATTTTACAAACAAGGACAGATGCTCTTGGAGGTAGGAAGGAGTTTTGGATGGTGTCAAAGGTGATTGTGTACAAGGGGAAGAAAAGACATAAGAATTGCAATTGTCAAGGCAATTCAAGCCGACCGCCAATTTGCCTTTTCATTGTCGGGTAATTGATGCAAAAGTGATTAGTTTGTGTTGGCCAGGTACACCTAGTTACCTCAGTTCTCCTTGTGTCTTTGTCTCAGTGAACACAAATTTGGTTTTACTTTAATCAGCTCAGCGCTGTCCTAAGCGACTCAGTTGGGCTGTCCTTCGAGGAGCCTCCAGGCAACGTCGCCGTTGCCCTCGGTAGGCTCCATCACTCCCTCTCTCTCTGTCTTCCTGACTCGGGGACCGCATTCATCTCTGCTCAGTGAGTAGACTGAGCTGAGAGCGGAAGCAGGGAAGTTGGAACTCACCTCTCTTTACAGCCACCGCCACCTCTTGTATTTCTGTGGAGGCTTCAGGTGGGGTGGGCCCTGGAGGATGCGACTCACCTCCAGCCAAACCGCCTGATGGCTTTGGTAAGGAGCGTGGCCACCGGACTCCCAGGGCAAGGGCCGCAGGAAGCCCTGGCCATAGGGAGGCCATCAGAGCCCATCAGGATGCTGCCCTCGCCCCTCCCTGAGCTCCCTCGCCTCGCGGGTAGGAGGGTCCCCAGCGCTGCGGCGCCCTGCGTGTGCTTGCCCACAGGGGGAGCCATCTCCAACATGTACAGCATCATGGCCGCGCGCTACAAGTTCTTCCCCGAGGTCAAGACCCAGGGCATGGCGGCCGTGCCCAAGCTGGTCCTCTTCACCTCCGAACATGTGAGTGGGGTGCTCTTGCTCGCGGACTGTGGTGTCCCCCGAGGGACTTCTGAGCGTCTAACCCCGAGCCTCTGTTTGTTGCAGAGCCACTACTCCATCAAAAAGGCCGGGGCTGCGCTTGGCTTTGGAACCGACAATGTGATTTTGATAAAGTGCAATGAAAGGTAGGCAGGGGAGAGTGACTATTAGGTTCTTGATGTATTAAATGTGTTCATCTGTTAAATTTGTTTTATTGTGCTTAAGGACTGACTCAGTACAGTGTGCCAAGCTGCTAATGGTCTGTTGAAAATATCCGATTAAATTACTTTTTGCTGCAGCTGAAGTTTTTTTCATGTGCAGTCTCATTGATTCCTCATTTTCATTTCTCTCCTTTTATAATTACAGGGGGAAAATAATTCCTGCTGATTTAGAGGCAAAAATTCTTGAAGCCAAGCAAAAGGTATATATTCTATGGTGCCTCTAAATTGTCTGATGAATACAGATTTTTGAAAATATTGTCTGTCTGTTGTAGACAGCAAAATCTTTGCTAATACAAGAAATTATTTTATTGTGTATTTAAAATTCTATTCTCAGGTATTTATTTCTGACTTCTGAGATGATTTGTCTTTAAAGCTGTGTCTGTACCATATCAGTTTTTTTGAAAAATGAAAAATTCAGTCCTTAAACCTTTTGTCCTATCTTAATTGTGCCAAATGATTAGTTTGATGTACTTCCATAAATCCACTACCCAAACACCATGAAGATACAGCTATGGAGGTTTTCACTTAGTACTTGTTAGGTATAATCTCATTTTAACAAGTATCATTTTAGTTTAGGATTCTGTTTAACAAGGTACTTCCATGCCCTGGCAGATGGCCCATGAGACTTGGTGAATCAGCCTCAGTAAAGTCTATTAAACAAAAAAATTTCATAGAACACATGTATCCACAAGGCACGTTAGGTTGCTGTCAGGCACTTACCAACTTGTTGTTTTGGTTACAGTCTTGTATCCCCTTTTCTAACTGTGGTTGTTTGCTGGGGTCTCAGTAGGGGAGATGGATGAAAATGTCGTTAGGACTGAGCAAGGAGCAGAGGTGCAGCTGAGTTTCAATAAAATCCAGGACTCACAGATTTCCCCAAGTCTGTCTGACTCTACTTCCTCGTTTACTTTTTGTTCACATCAAAATTTTACTGAGTCCACTATTACTGAAACAATGTATAGGCTGGTTTTAAATAGCCAAACAATGCTTCGGTTTATTATCACATCAGTACACTTAGAATAACACAGCTTCTAAAAACAGCAATGTCCAGATGATATTCAGAGCTACTTGCCTAGCACTTTAAGCTTACTATTACTCTTCCCTGCTTTGTTGTTCACCATAGACCTTGTCAATATTAAACATGCTGTGTATTTTGCTTATCGGATTTTGTTTGCTGTCTATCACTGCCCACTAGAATGTCAACTCCACAAGGACAGAAGTCTTCATCTGTTTTACTCACTGCTGTATTTCCCGCATCTACAACAGGGCTTGGCACATAAATGTCACTCAAAAATTATTTGTTGAATAAATGAATGAATGAGCAAATGTATCAACAAAGAATACTGCCAGATACAGTGTCCGATACCACAGCTGATATGTGAATAAATGCTACTGCAATTCATCTACTTCTTGTGGAAAGGAGAAAGGTTAAAAAGACTAATCAGCCTGTCTCTCTTGCCTCATAGGGATATGTTCCTCTTTATGTCAATGCAACTGCTGGCACGACTGTTTATGGAGCCTTTGATCCGATACAGGAGATTGCAGATATATGCGAGAAATACAACCTTTGGCTACATGTCGATGTAAGTGCTATAACTCAGGGTGGGGGTGAAGCAGCTCTGCTTTGTGATTTGCCTCAAGCCTCTCCCACGGCCCCAGCTGGCTCTCTCCACACCACATTAGTTCCACTTCTCCCTGGCTCTAGCCGGCCATTCACAACTGGACATACCACAGGCCTATACATCCCCTGGGACTCATCCATTCCCTGATGGCCAGTTGCTGTCTTCTGTGATTCATTTTAGAATATGGTCTCTATCACCTTCCCAGGTAGCTTTTGTCTGGGTAAATAGCTACAGAGAGAAATATAACTGATTTCAGAGGCAAAAAACATAAGACATAGTGTATAGAAAGTGGCCCTGAATCTGGATGCTCAGTTAGCTGCCTTCAGTCAGCCACCTATGACACTTTTCTAAAAAAATGCATATCTGGTGCCTGTAGGAGAAATCAGACTATATATGGAAGGTGTTACCAGCTAAGAGATTTAGTCCCAAATTTTTCCTGGAACACAAAAAATACATTTTCACATGTGTAACTGTGTTTTTTTCCTTTTTTCTCACTTCTTTCTCTTATGGATATAACTTCTCACAACTGGACAGTTGGGTAATCTGCGGTACTATTGAATAAATGATTGACAAAGACTGTTCTTGTGTCATGGGGAGTCCCAAGCTATTCTGTAAACCTAGGCACCAGGGTGCCCACAAAAATGTCTTGATGTTGCAGGAGCTGGTGGTAGGATGTCCAAGCCTGGCAGGGCTGCTGCTTTCTGAGCTTGCAGAAGCCCTTAGAATCCTACCCTCTGGAGAATCAGATGGCAGGCTCCAGTCTTTTGTGTCACTTCCAGAGCCGCCCTGGGGGCTCACTCAGTGTCTGTCTCTGCCTTTCGGAGAACTTTAGGCCTTTGGGTCTCCGCACCACAGGCTCAGACCAGACTTACCTGTATCACTCATAGCTACTCTGGCTTAACATGGAGGAACTTTTGAAGACGTGACAAATGAGTTAATTACAACAACCACTGGTTGCACAGTGTGGGTTCCTTTTGTCAGAAAACCTTACGTCTTTCACCATTTACTTTCTCATGTTTTAGTAGAGGTGTGGAGTGACTGGTGTGAATTCTTAAATGTCATGGCTGGCCACCTCCCTCTCCTTTCTCTGTCCTCACAGGCTGCCTGGGGCGGTGGGCTGCTCATGTCCAGGAAGCACCGCCATAAACTCAGTGGCATAGAAAGGTAAGGGCCAGAGTCTGGGGCCTCCTTTCATCGGAGGATAATCTATTAAATAGAGATGAGCCAGGTCAACTGTACTTTAGATATCTCAGGCAATTTTCATTTTCCATCCTTGAGTGTAGGAAAACTTGAAACATTTTGCACTAGCCTTTTTCTCATCAGGCATTTTAAAGCATGTATGTCTTCTGGAGGAAATTGAATCCATATCATGTCTTAAATTACTTTCCATTTGTAGCAGCAAAGAATCATTTACTTCAGACCTTTAGGACATTCAAAAACCCCCACTTAATTTAAGGCGTTTTGTGAGATCTAAATATCATATTTAATGACTCAGGGGTGATAGCTTTTAAATATGTCTTGACTCACTGATGCATTTTAGTGAGATAAGCACTTAGTCAACTTTCCTTAGAACTTATTGTAGGTCTCTTCACAAAGGTTTTCTTTATTGTACACTTAGGGGGACAGGACTTCAGGCCTTTCTCTCTTATCTTTGGAACACAGTGTACACCCTGTTGTCATATATACACTGAATTATTTTCCCTCTAAAAGACATAGGCAAGATGGAGAGGTTAAAAATTCACAGCAAAGATTAGCTTTCGGGAGAGCAGGGTCAGTATGATTCGGAGTCAGTTGCCCTGACGGAGAGAAGATCCTCCACAGGATTACAGAGCAGAGCCCAGCTGGGGGCCAGGCCATGGGAAGGGTTCTGTAAACTGTCGAAGAAAGTTACCCAAGTTTTAATCGTCATACATTTTACTTAGTTTCCATAATGTCCTGGCTAGTGTGCTGCTTGGCCATTTAATTGTGTCCGAGTAATGCTGTTGCTAGGAGACCGTGCTTGTTAAGCTATCACTGCAGCCTAACCTGGCAGTGTCGTGTTCATTTAGCATTTAAAACAAAGCTGCAAGCCATCAAAGTCTAGAACTGTCTAATTGATCCTTGCTTTTAAGTGTCACTCTTCATACTACGTCATAAGTAGGCAGGTCAGCATTGCCTGCCCATTTTATAGATAAGAATTGAAAGGCAAGAGAAGCCAGAGTCTGTTGCCCAGGAGGCAGGCTGTGCAGTCCGACCCCCTGGACTTGGCTCCAACACTTCCTAGCTGTGTGACTTTGGGTAATGTATTTAATCCTTTTGTGCCTCAGTTTCTCCATCTAAAATAGGCAATAATTCCTACATCATAGTATTGTTGTGAAAATTAAGTATTCCAAGCACAGTTATTAGCAATATGTATTTATTAGCCTTTTCTCCTTTATTCAGTCCTGTGACAAATACTTCCCATTTTACAGATGGGAAAACTGAGGCACAGAGGAGTTGTGTAACTTGCCCAAACTAGCAAATGTCAGAGCCAGGATTCAGATTCGGACAATTTGACTCCAGACTGGAGTTTTTAACCATGACGTCACACGGCCATAAGGCCTGGGAAGCTTCCACAATAGTAGGACACATAGTAAGTTCTTCACAAATGTTAGCTGTTACTAACAGCAGTTGTTTAGAAGAGGCAATCTGCAACTTAGTCCCCTGAAACTGCCTACAAAACAATTGTTTACCACTTGGTCAGTCAGTTTAGGGGGCTAGGCATAAAAAATGTGGACTGACTTGGTTTGCAGTGGGTGGTGTTTTCCGTAAGGGGACAGTCACCTCTTGCTGACTCCTGCACCTTCTGAGTATCCTGTGTTTCAGGGCGTGCTCAGTGACCTGGAACCCTCACAAGATGATGGGCGTGCTTCTGCAATGCTCTGCCATTCTCGTCAAGGAAAAGGTCTGTACTCCTCCCAGAGATGAGCTGGTGGCCTGCACATCCAATTAGCAGGCACAAGAGGAAAACATGGGGTCTTTTGACAGTACTTGGTGACAAACTCACATGGTTGACTGCCCTGTTAGGACCACCATTGCTCTTCTTTCCTGCCCTTACCTGTTAGTCTTCAGCTAACCTCGTGCCTCCTCTAGGCTCTTGCTTTCTGCTGCCCTTCCTTGGTCAGTGCTCAGGGCCTTATCAGTGACAGAAACTATAAAGGTATTATTTGATTTCATTCCTTCATGTTTGTACAAGCAAAAGTGAGAGCAATTGGAGTACCAACTCTCACCTCAGTGAGGACAATCAAGTGGGTCACTGGAACATACTTTTAAGTTCTTGGCACGAATTTGTGGTCCCAAGAGCTGAGATAAAGTTGGCCTTTACATGTTACAAATGTCAACTCAGAGTAACAAGGACTGTTGACCAAAAGCCTCTGTAAATGAACTAGTAGTGTATTTCCTTCTAGAAGCATCTAATAATAGGACCTTGTCCTTGAAGGAAAACTTTTGCTTCCTGAGCCATTCCAGAGTCTGTCACCAACCTATAGGAGCCAGAACCTGCACGAGCTCTTCACTCCACTCCTAAATTAGAGTGCCTGCTGACTTCATAGGAGATCCTGGAAAAGATGGAAAGACATTTTAGGGGATGCTTTGGGGGAGGAAAATTCTTCACACCATGACACTGTCCCACCCACCGCCGGAAGTTTTTATCCCCTGCCCACTGAATGCCATAGCACTTCTCAGACTTGAAACAGCCCAGAACACCCACACACATTTCCAAATGCCCCTCAGAGGGACGGTGAAGCCCTTGTTGTTGGCATCTGAGACAAAAGGTTATTTTCTAATCAGAGTGATGGAGGGAAAAGGGTAAAGGTTTTTCCAGGAGTGGCTTTAGGTAAGAACCTGAGAACAAGCGCAAGACCTCGTAAGACCTTAGAAAGGTTGCGTGTGAGCCCAGGCCCAGGCAGCCCTGCTCAAAGCCATCCACATGTCTGACCTGTGATTAGATGCACTCCTGTCCTGATTTCCACTGTAGGGGATACTCCAGGGATGCAACCAGATGTGTGCAGGCTACCTCTTCCAGCCAGACAAGCAATATGATGTCTCTTATGACACTGGGGACAAGGCAATTCAGTGCGGCCGTCACGTGGACATTTTCAAGTTCTGGCTGATGTGGAAAGCAAAGGTACGAAAAATGGGATTCCGGAAATAGAGCAGAAATGTAATTTGCACAGGCTGGCTGGCAAAAGAGAGGCAAAGATGTATCACAGTAACTCACTACTGTGTTCAATCAGTATCTGGATAATTGAGTTAACTGTATTTTCTTTATGAATGAAATCACTTTATTTCTCATGTCAAATTTTCCCTTCCTCCATTCAGTCTCTTCAGTTTGATTAGCATGAAGTTCTCTTATAACTTTGTCTTATAATAACTAAAAATAATTCCAAGATACAGACTTCCACATCAATCCTTAGGGATGCTGAAGTTATTTAATGCTGATGTAGAGAAAGAGATAAAGATAAAATTACTGCATTATTGTGTACAGAACCCTGAATTCCTTTATGAAGCCTCAAGTCATGGGATATATTTGACAGTTTTAAGTTCTATTTAAATAATGGCTCTCCCATTTTTTGTACTTGATAACCATTATGAAAAATACATGCTTTATTCTGAGAAATCCTACTGCTAGACTGAATGCTGGATCTGCATTCATCAACCTTTCAGGTTATACTTCTGTGTCTAGAAAAAAAGCAAACTGTTGGAATTTTCCCCAAAATATGGGTGAGGGGGAGGATTACCATTTGACTATTTGTTTCAAAAGTACTTCTATGCAATCAGGTAAAGGCAATTTTTATTTCACAGCTGTATACCACTTCTAGTATTTTTATTTACCTACTGTAAATTAACTTTAATAATTTCTGTGATTAAGATAGGGTCTGCCTAATAAAAAACAAGGCTTTCCAATGAAATATCTAGTCAAATATTTCCTCCGTAGGAAGAATTTGACAGATTATTAGTTTCCCCCCTCATTAAGCCATTTTGTCTTTATTTAGAAATAGTCTGAATTTGATGTCTACCATAAAGGACTTATAGGCATTTTAAGCATATAAATAGCCATAAGCAACGAGGGAAAGAGCCCTATCATTTAGAAATATAATAACCATACTGTGTCAGTAATGCCCATTTTTCTTTTGCCTAAAAATAACCCCTTGAACAATCTGCTGGCAGTTTGACTCCTAGTGAATTGGTTGCTGGAGTGGAACCCTGGTGCAGGCTTACTCCCCAAGTGGAAAGTGGCTTGGCCGGGGTGTACTCCTGGCAGTGACTGCTGCTTTGCCAGGGTTGGCCTTCGCCCAGGCCCGTTAGCAATCCACGAGCCAGCCTTGTACATCTGCTCTTGTTAACACTGACCCACTCAACAACCTCCACACTGCTGTTATTAATCAGCCATGCTGGCTTTTGAAACTCGTGCTCAGCCAGTTTGTCAATAGTTGGAGCTATTGCAGTCTCAGGGCATGCACTGAGACCAGTGGCTTTCCCATCCGCCTGCCTGCCTGCCACCGCGAAGGGATAAAGCTGTGCTGTGTAGAAGGCAGCCTGCCTGCGAGTGTGGCGGACTTGTTTGACCAGGACTTACTGCTGGGGAAGCTGGGTTCTAAAGGAGTGTTTCTCAAACTGTGGTAAAGAGCCAGTTGGGTTTTTTAAATCTATAGACCAATACAATAAAGATGAATTGCTAGAAAAGTGAAATAAAAAACCATAGAAGGTATAAACACCAATTTTTAGAATTGGATTCAGTAGACATTAAAATTATTCTGTCGCAGTGCCATTACAGTTTCTTATTGTTTAACCTCAGCCTTTGTGCTCATTTTAATGGTGGCCCGATTACAGTTGTGAACTGAGTAAGACGAGAGTGCCTTCAGCAGAGAGCGGGCATGTTTCCCTTTTTGCCCGCAGAGCTTTGAATAAGCTGTGCGCAGTCAGATGCTTCTTCCAAACCATCTCCAAGGATATTCTTAGTTGATTTCCAATAGACAAGGACAGCATAGCCTTTCCAAATGCCCATCACAGGGAAAGACAACCTCTCACCAACAAACTTTTTTTTTTTTTATTAAAAAAAAAAGGGAACAGTGGGATTTGAAAATCAGATCAACAGATGCTTGGAACTGGCTGAGTACCTCTATGCCAAGATTAAAAACAGAGAAGAATTTGAGATGGTCTTCAATGGTGAGGTAAGTTGTCATCGCGGACTATAGATGTTCAGCATTTCCAGAAAGTCTTTTGAGGGAAGCTCCTAAAGCCATATTTTCCCATGTTGCCAAAAGCTGTTTCAGAATTTTCATCCTTATGCACTATTCATTTAATTCTCTCTGTGTCCGTGAACTTTTCTCCCAGTAGCACTGGAATGAATTTTCCCCTCCACCTCTTTGCAGACAAGAGGTCTTTCCTTGGCAGGTCTGAATCCGTTATTATTTTGGGGTGGTCTTATCGTGTTGAACCCTCAGGATAAATTATTTCTCAGTTTCCAGAAGCTTATAGGGTAGGTATACCCTTGTCTCCCAAGGCTAGTTCTGAAATGAAGTCCTGCTTTACATAGATTCATTATGAGGAGAGCGAGGTACCATCGTCCCTGCCCTGAGTTCATGCCCACATGGTGCACAGTGCAGCACTTGTCACACCAGTGTTGACCAAGTGCCTGCTGTGTGCCAGGCCCCATGCCAGGAGCTGTTACAGAGCAGTGACCAAAACCCTATAAAGTAGTGACCGTCTCTGCCCTGATGGAGCTCGCAGTAGGTAAAGGAAGCTTCTGCTGTTGAAGAAAAGAAGATCCCCTCATAACCCAGTATGACACCACCTGCTTAGTGCATTTGCTGGACAGTCACCAAACGCAGAAGAGCCCTGAGCAGCTCAGACCGGCGGCACAGTGCCCGTGCCTTTCGCTCAGGGACCTCACTCTGGTCATTTACACTGTTTTAAACTTTCCGTTAGCAGATTAAAGACAAATGTGATATCTCAAGCCAGTCAGAGGCAGGCACAATGGTGGCAAATGGCAACTAGGAAGGAAACTGCAAAACTGTAGCCAGAATACAGAGAAACTGAAAAGCATAGGAGCCTCCAGGGGAGGGACACTAGAGTCCTAGGCGTCAGTTGGCCCTGTTGTACAGGGCAGAGCCCGTGTTAATGGTCCTTATGACGGCCCTGAGGCATCAAGGAAAGATTCAGTCTCAGTGTATAAGCTCAGCGAAATACTCGCTTAACAATAAAAGAATTGTTTCAGGCATCTTCTAGATATGAGGAACTATGAAATGGCAAGATGGATAATACCCTTTTTAAAAACTACCCAAATGTAATTATTTTTAACATTTCAATGTTTTGGTTTTGGTTTTGGTTCTTTGTGTTTGGAAAGGGAGAATCCCACCAAGGTCCATAGGGGTTTGGGAGAAGCCTTCTTGCCAGTTCTCACAATTTCCTGTTTTGTTTGGTGTGTTTGCTTGTTTGTGAAAATCTCTGCAGCCCGAGCACACGAACGTCTGTTTCTGGTACATTCCACAAAGCCTCCGGGGCATGCCGGATGGCCCTGAGCGGCGGGAAAGACTACACAGGGTATGGCATCTCTCCTTGGTCTCCTCTGACACTGCATTTCTCTGGCCAGTCCAAACATCTAGCGTGTCTTTCTAATGGGGGAGAAATAAAAATGAAAGACTTGGGGTGGTGGGGAGCCATCTTGTTACGTTCTTCTTGGGTCTGGATTGTCCCCTTGCTGTGGTTCAGATACAACAGGGAGCTCTGTGTTCCTGTCTGAGGCTGGTTTCTTCATTGAAGAAGCAGCTGTGTGCAGGGCAGTTGAATCCTAACATATTCTTAGGAACTTCCATATTGAACTATGTCTATTAAAATATCTTCTACTAAGTTAAAGGCTACTCTGATTCATTCTGATTGTTGATTTCTATATCTAGTTGACATATGATTGATACATGTTGGTTTATTTCATTTATATAATGTTTCATTCATCCAACCATTCAACAGATATTCATTGAGCAGTCTCTGGGCCAGTTTGTGTGCCTGGCAGCCTTAATTTGTGTGGCTGCCCATAAGAGTTTTTGTTTTTTGATTTTGATTTTGTTATCATTGTTTTTTAACTGACTTTCAAAATTCAGTTGCACAGTATTTTCTGAGGGAATTTATGACTGGGTAGACTCAGTCATTAGGTCTTAGCCACTGAAGAAACCTAGATGTAAAATATTTCTTTGTCTTTACATCAGTGTAAACACAAAGAGTAAAAAGCAAACTGCCTTTTTTTCCCAACCAAGAAACAGGTTGCATTGTTAAAAGGAGTGGTGTTAATACCAGTCTTGAGTTTTGTTTTGTGTTTCCATCACAAGGTGGCTCCAAAAATCAAAGCTCTGATGATGGAGTCCGGCACGACCATGGTTGGCTACCAGCCTCAGGGGGACAAGGCCAACTTCTTCCGGATGGTCATCTCCAACCCAGCTGCTACCCAGTCTGACATCGACTTCCTCATCGAGGAGATAGAAAGACTGGGCCAGGATCTTTAATCGCCCATAGAACATGAATTTATGGGGATTCCTGTTCCCTCTGGCACTCTAGAACAACCTCTGTAAGTTGCTAAAACAATAGGCCATTTCACTGAGGGAAAATACAATATCTTGAAGAATACTGTTAAATCCTTACTTACGCTTGTGATAGTTAGCAGGAAATAATGTTCTTTTTAAAAAGTTGCACATTAGGAACACAATCTATATGTACAGTTATATATACCTCTCTCTACATATATATATATATATATATATATATATATATATATGTATAGTGAGCGGATGTTAGTAATAGATCACAGCATGTTCCCACTCCAAGACAATTAACTTTACCTGATGGGCCAAACATGCTGCAAACCAGCTCGCCCAACAACCCCAGGAAAGATGTTGCTCAAGATGTCATGTTGTAGGAACCAAGGGAAGTCCTGTTAGCAGGAGTTGACCTTGTTGTCATTGTTTTTCCCACCTAAAGTGATGACGGATGAGAAAGGCACCACCTGATGACAAGAGTCACACCCTCCCCATTAGTATCCTGTTAGGGAAAAATAGTAGCAAAGTCCTTGTTATAGGTGTATTGTTGCTGTATTTTTAGAGATTACTTTGTGTAGATTGTGCACATCTTTGTTGTCTGACCTTTGGGCGGGAGGGAAAAACACATGTACTGATTTAAATGACTGTTTAATTGTGGGTAAATGAAATATTTGCTTATTTATATTCAGAGATTTACCGTGTTAAAGAGGTGTCTTGTATTTTCTTCCCATTCGTAATGTATCTTATTTATATATTAATGCAGTAAGTTCTGAAAACTGTTTATGGTATTTTCGTGCATTTGTGAGCCAAAGAGAAAAGATTAAACTTAGTGAGACTTGTATTTATATTAGAGTGCCCTTAAAATGATCTAAGCATAAGTTTACTGTCTGTAAGAGAATTCTGATACTGTACATAGAGTCATATATATGGACATCCCATTACTTAAACAGCCTCTGCTCTTTAATTGCCCTCTCTGTCTGGCTGTATGTCAGTGTTTTCAATGCTTTTCTAGTAACTGTTGGGTAAGAACTAGATCTCCTGTACTTTTGTAGTAGTTCATGACCAATCCCTGTGACTCGCTTAGCTCAAACCTAAGGCAACGTTTCCGGAGACCTTCTGAAGATCTCAGATAAATTGACCAGGCTCACCACTGTTTCTGAAGAAAGGAAACTCACACTGTGCGTTTTAGAGTATGCAAGAAGAATATAAATAAATAAAAATACTCTCCATGGAGAATCGAAACAAAACTTTCTTCCAGTTTGTGTTTCATGCAGAAAGAGAGATTTCCAATCATAGCTACTTGGATCACCGCGGCCCGTTCACTTTCACCAGCTGACTTTAGGTGGTGTACTCAGTACCTTATTAAGCTGGACCTCGACCCACTGTCATAGGTTCCCAAGCCCTGTATCTGTAAAATCATTATAATTGTAATTTTTTAAAAAATTTATAGTTTAAGCCTGGAGAAAGAAAAGCCATCTTTTCTCATTTTTCTATTTGCATCTTGGAGTTCCATTCGTTCAGTCTCTCAACAACTGTTTCTTCCTCTGTACCAGGTACTGTTCTAGGACAAAATTTCCTTCTGGTGGGATCCTATATCATCTGGTGTCTGTGGTGTCTGAATACCTCTGCGATCATAGAACCATGCCTCCCCGCTAACTATGCTTGTGCAGTGGTCCCAATCCACTTCCCTGGGAAATATGTTTTGGTGCTGGCTCATTAGGAAATAGGGCCCGTTTTCTGATATTCTATTAAGCTGTAATAAGACTGTCTCACTTGTTGGGAACACAAGGAGATCCCTACTTAGCATATGTAGGGATTGGATAAGTCATTAGTACTTAGTGTACTGATTGCGTATGTAACCACTGTATTAAACAAACAGGGCTCTATAGGGAGGTGATCATAAAAAGTCACTTTATTTTTTCTCTCACTGTTCCTTCAGATCCCCTCTGTGGGCTAATTCTTTCCATGCCCCTATTTGAATTCAGGCCCATCTCATAGCTTTTCTGGCCTCTCAGTCACAGACACAGTCTCATTTTAGCAACTAAATATCCAGCTCAGTGTAATAAGCAATTCTTCACATTCTTATACAATATAGAGTTTCTGCTCTTCCTTCCTCGGTTCTGTTTCCGACGGTAATCCCACAGTGGCAGGGAGAGCAAGGCTGCTGGTGGGGCAGAGTCAGGTTCTTTTTTCACTTTTCAGCTCATCTCTACTCCCTACCAACTGTATTCCCTTAACCAGGGTAGGGCCCAGGGGGGAAGGGGTTAAAGTAACAAAGGCACAATTTTAGATAGCTGTTAAATCGTCATCTGGCGTCTGGGCCCATGGTCCATGAGATTTTTTTTTATGGGAGAATTTTTTGGAGGGATTGGGGATGTTTTTAATTAAGATAAAATTAAGATAACAGTAAAATTTACTCATTAGAGTGTCCCGTGTATAGTGTTCTGAGTTTTGGCAAACCCATTCAGTCATGTAACTACCACCACAATCAAGATTTAGAACAGTTCCTTCACACCAATAAATACCCCCGCATCCCTTTGTATGGAACACCTCTCCCAGTCCCCAATTCCTGGAAACCTCTGATTTGTTTTCTGCCCCTGGAGTTTTGCCTGTCCCATCATGTATGTGGAATCATATCGTATGTAGCCTTGGAGCCTCGCTTTTTTGACTTAACACAGTGCACTGGAAATTCATGAGCGGTGTCTGTGTCGGCCGCTGGGTCCGCGCACGCCGCCTCGCATCCCGTTTGTGCAGCTGTCCCACTTGGCTCGTCCATTCCCCGGCAGAGAGACATTTCAGTTGGCTGCAGTTTGGGGCNCACCCCACTTGGCTCGTCCATTCCCCGGCAGAGAGACATTTCAGTTGGCTGCAGTTTGGGGCAAGTAAACTTTAGCCCGCAGATTTCTGTGTGAAGATGGGTTGTCGTTCAGCCTGCGTAAATGCCTATGTGTAGGATTGCTAGACTGTATGGTAAGAGTATGTTTCACTTGTAAGAGACTGTTTTCCAAAGCGGCCGTATCGTTTTGCGTTCTCACTGGCAATGTACAAATTTCCCAGTTGCTCTGAATTCTTGGTAACACTTGTGTTGACATTTTTTCTTTCAGCCATTTCTTTTTGTTACAGTTGTATTAACATATAGTTCACATGCCATATAACTCACCCATTTAAAGTGTATAGTTCCCTGGTGTGTGGTATATTCACAGAGCTGTACATCTATTACCACAATCAGCTGTGTTCCATCACCCCAAAAAGAAACCTCACACCCATCAACAGTCATTCCTCATTCCCACAGACACATACCCTCTTGCCTCTGGAAACCACTAGTCCACTTTCAGTCTATAGATTTGCCTTTTCTAGCCACTTTATATAAATGGAGTTGCATAATATATGGTCTTTCGTGACTGGCTTCATTCACTTAGCATGTTTTCAAGGTTCATCCATGCTGTACCATGTATCAGAACTTCATTCCCTTTATTGCTGACTAAATATTCCATTTTTTGAATATACCGTATTTTATTTATCCATTCATTCGTTATTGGGCATTAGAGTTGTTCCCACTGTTTGACTATTGTAAATAACGCTGCTGTGAACATGTGTGTACAAGTTTTTGTTTTACTTTGCCTCTTCATGGAGCACTCTGGAAGGATTCCATCGGGGGCCCCCCGCCTCATTGCCAGTGCGTACAGCTTGGCAGGCGGGGCATGTGATCGTTTTTGGTACCTACTGAACCCACTCCACAACCTGCAAGCACAGCCTTATGCTTTTGAGATTCCCCTTTGATGATAGTTCCAGCTGTAACTCATTCATTTTTATAGGTGTCAGGATGTTTTACTGTATGAATGTATTTCAGTTGGTTTATCCATTCTATTGGAGGTGAATGTATCAGTTTTGTCAAATATTTTGCCTTTAGGGAAATGCTATGAGCATTCTTGTGCTTGTTTTCTTGTGTACAGGTGCAAAAACTTTCCTCAGGTTTATACCTAGAAGTGAAATTAGTGTGCTCGTTGAACTTTGAGTGAAGCAGAGAGGTCATACCAAGTCGCGCTCCAGCCAGCGGTGGACGTTGTTCTGTGACCTCACCATCACCTGGTCTAAGATTTTTGCCAATCTNCCTAGAAGTGAAATTAGTGTGCTCGTTGAACTTTATTGAGTGAAGCAGAGAGGTCATACCAAGTCGCACTCCAGCCAGCGGTGAACGTTGTTCTGTGACCTCACCATCACCTGGTCTAAGATTTTTGCCAATCTGATGAATAGGGAAGAGTATCTCACTGGGGTTTTCATTTGTCTTTCCCTGATTACAAATGAGGCATCTTTTCACATTTTTAGGAACCATTTGTGTTCTCTCTTCTATGAAATGCCTAAATCATGCCCTTTGTCCAACTTTCAATTGAGTTGTTTGTCTTTTTCTTATTACTAATTCTTTTTTATTACATGTTTGGGGAATCTCTTCTAATCTAGGGCTTGCCTTTTTATTTGATTAATCATCTTTTTTAAAAACATACATTCTTAAATTTAGAATTTATTGATACTTTGGAGTCTTTCCTACTCCAAAGTCACAAAGATAATCTCATATATGTAGGTTTCTTTTTTTTTTTTTACATTTAAGTCTTTAATCCACCTTGAATTGATTTTTCTATGTGGTTGTTCCTCAAGAGCGAAAGGGCCATTATTAGCCCTTTACTCTTCCACATAAATTTTAGAATCTATTCATCAAGTTCTACCAAAAAATTCCTTATTGGAATTTCATTGAATCTGTGGGCTAGTTTGAAGAACATTAACATATTTTCAATATTAAATATAGTAACCAGAAGCATACAGTATATATCTCATTCAACTAGGCCATCTTTAACTTCTTTCAATAAAGTTTCATAATAGACACGCACAACTTTGGATAGATACATTCCTCAGTGCTTAATATTGTTATTTAAATTATATATGTTTTGAATGATGTTTTCTGACTGTTGTATAGA